TACAAGAAATCACAAAACAACAAGAAGAAAGGTAGAAGAAAGAGATCCTCTGAAGAATTGCGTCCCCACAAGCTCCAAGGTGCTCTGTTTCCTGGTTCCTCTCTGTTCTTCTCTTCGTGCCACTTTTGATCCTGTTTTTTTCTCTTCTCTGCCCTTTTATAAGTGTTGGAATTAAAACAGAATAGGTAGGAAAGACAAGAATCTGCTCAGCACCTTGAAACGGCTGAGCGGTTTGAAGAATTCTTCATCATGAAGTAATACGAAGGGCTGAGCCCCTCAAATCCGCTGAGCGCCTGAGAGATTCTTCACTATTAAGCAAGCCAAGGGCTGAGCGCTTCAGATTCGCTGAGCGCCTAGAAGGCAGAGAGCACTCCTTCTTCCAGGGCCAAAACCGCTCAGCGCTTCAGAACGGCTGAGCGCCTCCAGTTTGGTGCACTTTTGAAGGGCTCTCTAGCTTGAAAGCGCTCATCCCTTTTGAAGGGCGGAGCCGTTTGCCTCCAGACTTCAAAAACTACAAAATAAGAGGAAAATTTGCTCTTAATAACGTAAATTAAGAGCCCATCTTTGATTCTTAATGTATTTGCCAAAATTATATCAATATATACAAAAAGTGTGCTAGATAAGTGTCTCAAATTTAAATTTCATCAAACTAATTAGACACTTATCAAGCTACCCCCAACTTAGAAATTTGTTTGTCCTCAAACAAAAAGTCTTGATTAAGGAAATAATATATCTTAACTTATATACCCAGTGAATCACTTCAAGTGTCACCCAAAAAATATGTTAATGCACTTACATGGTTTCAAAGAGTCCAATGTAAGCATTGTTTGCAAAATCCAGTATGCTTACATGCAAGTCACTACAAATGGTGCCCACATAATAACAAAAATCATGAACATCAAGCATACTCAAGCGAAATATCCACTCATCTTCCATTGTTTTCAGTCAAAGGCACTAAAATTTTCATCACAATTGTGTATCTCTCAATAATATGTTGTGAAGGGTGAGTGTTTCTCTCTTTTCATGCACCAAAACACACTAAGTTTGCTTTGTTATTCATCTCCCACAAGTCTATTGTTAGAACTAAATTTGAGACACTTATCTAGCACACTTTTTGTATATATTGATATAATTTTGGCAAATACATTAAGAATCAAAGATGGGCTCTTAATTTACGTTATTAAGAGCAAATTTTCCTCTTATTTTGTAGTTTTTGAAGTCTGGAGGCAAACGGCTCCGCCCTTCAAAAGGGATGAGCGCTTTCAAGCTAGAGAGCCCTTCAAAAGTGCACCAAACTGGAGGCGCTCAGCCGTTCTGAAGCGCTGAGCGGTTTTGGCCCTGGAAGAAGGAGTGCTCTCTGCCTTCTAGGCGCTCAGCGAATCTGAAGCGCTCAGCCCTTGGCTTGCTTAATAGTGAAGAATCTCTCAGGCGCTCAGCGGATTTGAGGGGCTCAGCCCTTCGTATTACTTCATGATGAAGAATTCTTCAAACCGCTCAGCCGTTTCAAGGTGCTGAGCAGATTCTTGTCTTTCCTACCTATTCTGTTTTAATTCCAACACTTATAAAAGGGCAGAGAAGAGAAAAAAACAGGATCAAAAGTGGCACGAAGAGAAGAACAGAGAGGAACCAGGAAACAGAGCACCTTGGAGCTTGTGGGGACGCAATTCTTCAGAGGATCTCTTTCTTCTACCTTTCTTCTTGTTGTTTTGTGATTTCTTGTACCATGGAAAGCTAAAGCTCTAGGGTTGGGATTGATGTAATCATTGAAATCCTTTGTATTCCTCTTTGATTCATATATATATATCTCATCTATTACTCAATGTTAGTGATTTGTTTCTATTCTTAATGCTTTGATGAACTGATCATTTATCTTTGATTTCGGATTTTGAATTTGGTTGGAAAACTTTTTCTGAATCTAGACTTAGAACGAATCGCCTATTAGTTTCAAAATTCAGGAATGATTTTTGGAATTAATAGTTGTAAGAAGTTCTGACTCTTAATGCAGGATATTTAACTGAATGAAGTGAGGAATCATTCATTGAGTTAAATATCTTAGAATTTCTTATGCCAAGGAATTGGGTCTGAATGAATATAGAGAACTCAATGGCCATGAGTAATGGAATCATTTGAAAGAATCAATAGGAATGAATAGGAAGGAGATTGATGAAATCTAATCCCAATTGTTTCTCATATCTATTTTTCTTAAATCTAATCTGACTCTTGGTTACTTAAGTTTGATCTACCATTCACATCAAATTTTGAATATGTGTGATTACTGAAGTTTTAAATTTACAAGTACCAATTAGTATAATAGAAATCAAAGCTTAATTAATAAGTCCTTGAGGATCGACAACCTTTTAACTATATTACAGAGACTTGGGTGCGCTTGCTTAGAAAACCAACAGCGACCACCAAAATCGGTCGCTAAATTGCTAAAATTGGTCGTTATTTACCTTAGTGACCAAATTAATGACCGAATTTAAGTAGTCGCAAAAACCTTGGTTGCAAAGCTATATAGATACCGAAAATTTTGGTCGCTATTTAGCGACCAAAAATTTGGTCGCAAAATGGTTGCAATGATTTTGGTCGCTACAAACACTCATATTTGCCCTTCCAAGGATTCTATTTCACAATACTTCACTTTCAGCATGTCTTGTCCTTAATTGTTTTGTCCTATATTACTCCAAGTCAAGCACGCTTAATTGTGGAGTTCTGATGAGATAAGCTACCGAAAAGCAGATGCATGTTGTTAGTATAAGTAGCACAAATTAATTCATTTAACTCATCCTCAACTATACAATATGAAATTAAAAATATAAATTAAAAATAAGATTTTCGACGGAATAATTTCGTCGGAAATTTTCCGGCAGAAATTTTCGACGTATTTATTTTTTTGTCGGAAATTTTCGACGGAATTTTCCGTCGAAAAGTTTCTGTCGGAAATTTTCGACGGATTTATATTTCTGTCGGAAATTTCTGACGGAAAATTTCCGACGGAAAATTCTGTCGAAAATTTCTGATGAGAATATAAATCCGTCGGAAATTTTCGACGGATCCATATCCGTCGGAAATTTATATTTTTCTTGTAGTGAAAATGAGTCTCTTTCTTCATGCCTAGCATCACCAATCTTGTGCTCGACATAAAAGAGACAGAGACCCCTGGTTGGCTGGCCCTAGAAAGGCACACCTAGTGTGGTTGTGATTTTTGCACAATGTAGATAACGAAAATTGCCTCATTCACTTGAAATATAAAAAATCTAACACGTGTACACACACCATCTAAGGCTCAAAATGATCAAGAAGCAGCACATGCAAGTCAATTTGCATCATTCACCAAAATCACCGCCTATGAGCTTAAAATACCAAGAACTCAACATAAACCAAAATCCCACATTAGATTTTGCCAAACAAGCAAGAATTTAAAATAATTCTAGGCACATACAACTCGATGAGAATCAAGTCTAGCTTCCCTCACCTCAAATCCTAACCACCAAGATGAAGAAATGAGGGAGAGGAAGAGAAGAACTTCGAAAACTATGTACCCACACCAAATCTTCAATTCCAACGACTTCAGATCACCACTCTGATGATCAACAAGAGCCTCTCACGCCTTTGGAGAATCTAGAAAGAAGAGAAGAAGTATTAGGGCTCCAAACGCTCTCACTCTACTTTCTCTCTCTAAGGTCTTTGATAAATTGAGTTATAAGACTCAATTCTTAAAAGGAACCTTATATATTTTATCTCTTTAGGGTCAATTGAACTTCTAGCCAAAGAACCTCATAATTCACACATCTCATCTTAGATATAATGTTACATTAACAAATTTTTTTAATATCATCAATATTTTAATTTTCCATTTATTTAATTATTTTATTAACCAATATCTCAAATACACTTGTTAATATTTATCTTATTTTTAAATATTAAACAATTTTATATTTTATCATAAAAAAATATATTTTTTCAGTCAAGATTTAATAACTTGTAATTGAAATGAATACAATTGAATTCTAAAAAATTGTAATGTCGCTTACTAATGTTTTTAAACCATTCAAAAATTCAAATTGTCTAATCCTAATCCTAAGAATAAAATTAGGGCCTAAGAATGGAATTAGGGACTAAAACGGGCAGGAGCGAAGTGAGTGTATGTGTCGATATCCTTGTCATTATCTTTAAGTTTGTATTTTATGTTCATTCTTGTTCCTAGTACCTGACGGGTATGTATTTTGTGTCGTTCTCATCGCTATTGGGTATTGAGTATACCTGTTTCTGTCTTGTATTTGTCTATAAATTAATTAAATATTTTTTTATAAAAAAATACTAAAAATAAGAACTCTAACATAGAATAATAATTATAAAATTATATTAATTAAATTTTATTTATAAATTTAAAATAGAGTAAAAATTGTATAAATCTCAAGTAAATTCTATAAAAAGTAAATTAAGTTTCTAGAAATTTAAAATGAAAATAGGACAAGGACAAGTACATGAATAAGACAAAAGTATATATACCCATCATTGTCCCCATATCTGATTTAATAAATTATTACTTGTGTCTAGACAAATCAGATACTTTCTATTAAAGTTGGGATAAGTTTATACATTATCCAGGAATACATATTTATTTGTCATCCTTATATAAAAAAAAAACTATGTTAAGATTATATGTATTCATGGTCTAAGATAAATTAGTTACTACTTCTCATGATAAATACTTCATATCAAAATGATAGTTATCCCTTGCCACCCTTTCTTTTTCATTTATAAAGATATATATGTATTGTATAGCAAAATAACATTTAAATTCTTAATTCTGTAAAGACCATATTGAATGCCGTGGTGCAAATATTGCATTTTATAACAACATTTTACATGGATTATAGCAAACCAATGTAATCTAATGCGTGATGACATTTTTGAATTGGTCCATTTTTCATCTCTCGCACCTATTTTTGTTTCATTTAAATAAGTTTATATTAGAGTAAATCATGAGTTGAGAGTTGAGAGAATTGAATTCATTATATAGACTGAATAGTGTTATATTTCATGTACATATATAGCGAGCTTACAAACATGGATGGTGCCATATAACATAAAGTTATTTCTATGAATCAAACATAACATATTTATTTTCACTCCAATCGACTCCAGAACAACACAAGCATTCGGTAACATTATTTGACTTACTTACAATATGATAAAAGACAATATATATATATATATATATATATATATGAAGCATGATATTATTATAGATTGATTGGATTGATTGATTGGGGGTGGCGATTTTGAATGGTGACGGGGAAGCCACCTATCATGAAAGACGTGAGGTAGCCCCCATACTCGGGTTGGGCGACCTTGGAGATGAGGGTGAAGCGCTGCAAAATGGCGGCGACGAGTCTTTTCATCTGCAAGAAGGCCATTTCTCTACCCAAACAGACCCTGGGGCCGGCCTGAAAGACGGGATAGGTAAAAGCATCGATCCCCTGGAGGCTCCACTTGCCTTCCAGCTGATCCCAGGCCAGCCACCTCTCGGGGCGAAACTGGGCGGAATCGGAGCCCCATATCTTGTCGGACCTGCCCATGGCGTAGATATGGTAGGCAACCCTCCAGCCTTTCTTGACGAGAGTCCCATCGGGCAAAACGTCGTCGTCCACAGCCTCCTTAGTGTCGACGGGAACCGGGGGGTAGAGGCGCATGGTCTCGCACAAGGCGGCGTGCGTGTAAACCATGTCCTTCACCTCGTCATAGACGTGGGAGTAAGCCTCAGACTTATCCCTAACTTCTTTAACAACGTTCTCCTCCACGTGGGGGTGGTTAGAGAGGAGCCAGAAGAACCACGTGAGGGCCGCCGAGGTAGTGTCTCGCCCCGCCAGGATAAAGCTAATGATTATATCCATAACCAATTCTTCATCCGAGTGCCCAGAGGATAAAAACCGTGACAACAGATCCACGGAATCTAGGGTTTTCTTTTCGCCGAGCTCCTTTTTCTTCTCTCGGATGATTCTTCTCGCTAAAACCCTCACTTCCGAGATCGCTTCCCTCAGACGCTTCTCCGACCCTACGTTCAACACCTCTTTCACTTTCCAGAAGAGAGGCACCGCCGCGTTGAACCTCTCGCTGCTGATTCGGGTCGCGTCGTCGAAGGCCCTCGCGAAGGCCGTTTGCGGGAGCGACGGGAGCAGGTACTCGGGGTCGAACCCGAACGCGATTTTGCAGATGTTGTCGAAGGTGAACCGTTGGAGGATGTCTTGCAAGTCCACCACGGTGTTTCCCGCTCCGGCGCCGGCCAGGAGGGGGAGGAGCCGCTCCGAGAGTTCCGTGTCCACCACGGTTTGGACGAATTTCCGGAGGGTGCGGGTGTTGAATTCGTGGCTGGAGATTTGCCGCTGGAGCTTCCAGGTGGAGCCGTCGGCGGCGAAGATGCCGTTGCCGAGGAAGTCGCCGAGGGCGCGGTTGAGCGTGGGGCCCTTTTGGTAGACCGGGAAGTTGGTCTTGAGAATGTGGTGGACGACGGTGGGGTTGGCCGTGAAGACCTGGCGGGAGCCGAAGGCGCGGTGGAGGACGTAGGTGGAGGAGCGCGAGGCGTGGAGAATGTCGGCGATCCAGTGGATGCGGCGGTGGCTGTTGGCGGCGATGGAGAAGACGGAACCCAGGATGGGATAAGCTTTGGGAATGGCTGTGGTGGCGGTGGAAGAGGTCGGTGGGGATTTGGATAGTGTTGAGGCTAAGTACCAAAGTAGAGTTGCAAACAAAAGAAAAAGCAGCAGAGCCAGGGTTTCATGTTCCATTTGGCAGGTTGCTTCACTCTACTCTATCACCTATCCCCTATCACCTATCACCTATCACGTCCTTCCTTTCCTCTACTCCCAATTCCCAAACCTATTTATATAATGCTACCTTTACAACTAAATTTACTTTTTCAATAACTTACACTCTGGGATCCCAATAATTTTCTCTCCAAAATATCTTCCCTTTTTAACACGTCGTATCAAATAAATAAATTAAATACAATTTCTCATATAAAGTCTTTATTAGATAAGTCTGTATATTTTAACTAATTACTATATAATATTTATTTTCTCTGTCACATAATGAGTATGTATTTATAAATATAAATAAAAAAGAATTAACACCTAAATAAAAGTTGGTGCGAAGTGTAGTGGCGATGGACGAGACGAGAGGAGACAGAAGTTCCACTTTGAGAGTGCACTAAGTGCGGTTGGGTCTTTGGTCTCCACACTCATTGGCTTAGACGACTAAAGCGGCATGAGAGGGAGGAGGAGGAGGAGGAGGAGGAGGGAGCTCTTCTGATCTTCCCCTTCCAACCAGTCAATAGGATAAGTAAAAAGATATATATTTATATTTGATCACGTGTTTTTCTGGAACATGTCTCTCTGTCTCCACTCTGTTGCTATTTGGGTCGCATGCAGCAATTCAGGGCCCAATGCCAGTGAGTGGTGTCACCCAGCAACAGTGTTGATAGATTAAAGGATACATGGATAATTAAATTTTGACTTTCTCTCCCTCTCCTGTCTCGTTATTGATTATTGATTAGGCAAGAGCTACATCCTCCATCCTGTAAGCCAATACAAACCTAACAGTTAACACAACTTCTATTTCTTCAATAAAGCTCCTGTTAGGCCTCCCGGACCTCATCACCAAATTATTAGGTACTCTCAATTTCTTCTATAATCTTCACTAATCTATATTTCAATTTTAATTTATAAAATTTAATTATTATTTTAATACATGTTTATTATGCATGTGAAGGTTAGTGTGCATGATCTCAATTAGACAATTACTTACCCACGTCAATACCATCATCATCATGAATACAGCTTAGAAGCAACTTTGCTTTGTTTGTTGCGGGCACTGTTTATACGTAATTTGTTAGGCCAAGGAGAGTGCATTAGCATGTGGAGAGAGAGGATGATCATAATACACTTGTTGTCTGATTTTTTTTTCTTTCTTTTTTCTGTTGAAACAGAATATCGAATTTCAGAATACACACATAAAACAAACATATTATGAGACTCTTTGGATACGAATTTTAATACTATTTTTAACTGTTTCACTTATGAAAATAAAGAAATATTCGTAATAAAGAAGCTCTAAAAAAAACATTTTTAAATTTGTATTTAAACATATATATTCTCGTTTTACAGTGCAGTTTATGTCTTCTTTCTACCTTTTTCGCATGATTTTGGCAGGTCGTTATCATCGGTGCACGATTTTGATTAAAATTCCCTTGCATGTGTTTTTCCTCTGATCATCGTGTTAGGAAATACTAATTTGTTATACATGCATGTTGTATCTTTAACTGAACAGCTTCAGAAACCCCCTTTATTGGTAAATTACTGCCAAGACCCTGCACAGGCACAGCGCATATACCCACCGCGCGGAACAATCAAACATGTGGTGGTATTATAACTTAATTTATCATTCTATATGTTATGCAAATATATTACATCGCTTAATTAACTACATATAAAGATTGAGGAATGAGTTATTCGTCTCTCATTGTGAAATAAAAATTTTAGATTGTGGGTCTAATTTTTTTCTCTTTAAGGTAAATTCGGTTCGACCCAATACTCAATTTATAAATAAGATTAAATTAAAATTTAAAAATAATGACTTAAATAAAATTAGGTCGGTCTAATTCATTAAACTCAACAAGATAAATAGGTTTAGGTCGAACAGATTCATTAAACTAATAAGTGAAATAATATGAATTACTATCAATTAATTTATAAATTTATAATTTATTATAAAATAATAAAATAAAATATAATGATATCATAATATTAATAGTTTTTCACGCTTTTGTATTTGTTTGCAAAGTTATGGTTAAAAACTTATAATTAAGATTAGTCGTTATAGTTCTTGTGACTTGTCATATCTATTTTATTTGTCAAGAAGACGAAAACGTAATCACATTCATATTTATTCTCATAGAGTGACAATAACAACTCATTATCATCGCTAAAATCACAAAATTACAGGATATCACTTTACTTTATGAACCATTGTTATTTTAGCTTGAATAGTTTTAACATCTTAAGTAAGAAACTTTCTTTCTCTTTATGATATGTTTTCTTACTCAATTGTTCAAGTATATTTACATAACTAATTAAGTCTCTTTTCTTGTTTTGACATTTTTTTAATCTCATTTCAGTTATCACTTGTACAAAATTAATTGGGTATTTCATGACAATATATAATATAAATTAATCATGTTATAATTTTTTTATTGTAAAAATTAGATATGATTTTTTAATTCAATAAAATACTATATTAAAAGAGCATTGCAAAGATTCTAGATGGAAAAGGCCAAGGTGGTGAGCACTCCTCTTGCTACTTATTTTAAGTTGAGTCAAATGATGCTAAGAAATCAAATATTCCTTATGCATCGGCGATGAGTACATAGTTTGATGTATGCAATGATGTGCACAAGACTGGATATAACATATGATATTGGTATAGTTTGTAGATTTTTTTCAAACCCAAGTAGAGAGCATTAAAATGTTGTGAAATGAATTTTGAGGTATCTTCATGGCACTACAAATATGAGAAATTGTTTTGGTGGCGATAACTGATAAGCCTATTTTAGTGGAATACTCAAACTTTGATATGGTAGGAAACATTGATTGCAATAAGTCCACTTCGGGCTATCTGGTTAAATTTGTAAGGGGAGTTGTGACTTGATAATCTAGACTACTAAGGTGTGTAGTTTTGTCTACTACAAAGGCAGAATTCATTGTCATTACTAAAGCATGCAAGGAGTTGCTATGGGTGAAGAAATTCCTTGAGGAACTTGGTTTTATGCAAGATAAATATCTATTATTTATAGACAATCAGAGTGTTATTAATCTTGGTAAGAATTCAACATTTCATTCATGGTCTAAGCATATTGATGTGAGATATTATTGGATACATGATGCTTTGAATGTTAAGTTGTTGGAGTTGACAAAAATTCACACTAATGATAGTGATGATGATATGATGACTAAGATATTACCAAGAAAGAAGTTTGAAGTTTGTTGTGAGATTGTTGGTTTGACGATCATCTCCACATAGTCGTGAAGGGGGAGATTTGTTGGATTTTAGACTACTTTCCTATGTGGACAATAGGCCTAGAATATGTAAGCCCATTATATCTCATTTAACCAAGTGGAGAGGGGTAAGGTTAGGGCAGAGAGAGAGAGTGACTTATTTTGAGAGGAAACAACAGCAAAATATAGATAGGAGATAAGATAGAAAGTTTCCTTGTTCGATTCTCATATCCATCATGTAGTGTTTGTTGAATAACAACTGGTGATTTGTTCACTATTGGATCAAGTTGATTTTTTGACAGTAGATTCATGCAACGTGACATTTTGTATTCAACGATTGGATCGTCTAAAGGATGTCTAAAGTGATAGAAAGTAACAACTCTATTTTTGAGACTTTTCATTTTATCTCTCAATTATAAGTAATTATGCTCAATTTTGCTTTAGGTGATTGTAAATATCATTTGATGCGTTCTTTGGAGATTCTCTTGTACCATTTTTTGATCATAATGGAATTTTTCTTTAATCTGGACAATTCGTAATTTTTATCCTTACATTGAAGGATTTTTTTCATGTTAAAAATCTATGTCTCTCATGCATTGCTATTTTTTTGCTCAATTTTGTTGGTGCTCCTATTAATTATTGCAAGTAGGAAAATTTAATTTTTGTTGCATTATTTCTCTTTTTATTAAGTTGTTGTTATTGTGTTGGACTTTCCTGCATCAAAAACATCATATTAACCTAATTGGTAATGCATAATTATTTCAATCTGTCACTTTTAGATATAACCTAAGGGATAAAAATAAGATTTTAGAAAATTATAACTAAAAATAACAGTTTTAAATTTGAGAGACTAAAAACATATTTAAACCTTTCATTTTTTTTTTTTGTACTTCAACTTTAGGTCTTTTAACTTTTTAGTTTTTTTCCCCAAAACTTTGGTTCTTTTTAGATTTCAATACATTTTATGTATTTTTTTTTAATTGTACCCTTATATTTGTGTAGTTGAGTAACTAATATTAGTTTAAGTGGAACATTAATTTTATTTTGAGTGTATGGGCACTACTAGAAAAGTGTTATTTTTTTGCAAATTTACTCATCCTCAACTATACAATATCAACTTATACTATCGTTGGATCCTTCTCATTTTGATGTGTCTGGACCGTTATAATATATAATAATATATAATAATTATATTACTGATAATAATAATTATTATATTATATTTAATTAATCTTTATTTATATATATACTTATTTTTATAATTAACAATCTACTTATTTCTATTTACTCATCATATCATCATGTTACGTCGTGGGTGACCCAAGGTACACTTTGTTAGCATGTTACATCGTGGGTGACCCAAGGTACACCTTGTTAGCATGTTACGTCGTGGGTGACCCTAAGGTACACCTTGTTAGCATGTTACGTCGTGGGTGACCCTAAGGTACACCTTGTTAGCATTTTACATCATGGGTGACCCTAAGGTACACCTTGTTAGCATGTTACATCACAGTTATGCAGCCTAAGCAGCACACTTAGAGTTATATATGTATATGATGCATGTCATACATTCACAATTTCATTGACTCAACATTTCACTTATCACGGAATTTCATTTATTGTCTCACATCATTATTTTTCATATTCTCATAGTCGTAGCTTATCTCAATAGTCCATTTTCATGTCTCATGTCATTTGTTCATATTTCACATAGTAATGTCATGATTATTCCTAATAAGGTCCGAACAGAAAATTCATAGAGCATTTTAGTTCATATTAAAACTTATT